AGCGCCCTACGCACTGCACTTTATGCCAGAGAAGGAGGATCATAAACTAAATCTCAACAACCCACCAAAGAATGATTGTTTGCTCTTTTCATTTTATGGACAAAAATCCCACAGATATGCACCCCGATCCAGAGTTGTATCTGGGCGAAGACTGGCCACCAAAGGCGCGTCGTCCAGACCACTGAGCCAGACAGCTTCCAACAAAATCAACTAAAACCCTGAGTTTGTGCCTGGTGAGTGAAAGTCTAAATGTGGTTGGTCCTCGTTTCACTATTTCATCGTGCAGTTCTTTGCTTTTACTAAATTAAAGCCTACTCGGAGTGGTGTTAGTATCAGCGCTAGCTACAAGTAGTTTGCTGTAATCACAGTAATATCTTTGAAACCATAAGTAACGTACAGTAAGAGAAGTCGGTTTATTTTCTTGTGTTTTTTTGAGTTTTCAAGCTAAATTATTAAGAAAACAATTTACAAATTTTGTAACCTAAACATTACCTTCAATTCAGCTTCATAATGAGCCCTGTGCCCACACTCCACCTACTACAATATCATGTGCTGTGTAGCTGCTAACCGTTTAGCTCTCCTGTGTTTTGTTTGATTTTTACTACATTAAGTTGTCACTCAAATGCGTTGTAGGCTTTTTTTGGACTGTATCAAATGTTTGCTTTTTTTTGCACGATTTGTGTGTAGTCTAAGAACGTAACAACTGCGAAAATTGAGGCTTCATTGTAATGCTAAGAATTACTTTATGTCTAACTGCAAGTAAGTTAAAATAAAAAATAAATAAAATAAATTCATCCTTGTCCACGTAAACAATCAACACTCTTATGGCCATGCATAAATTAATATTTTTTTAATCCAATGTCACTGAATGGACTCTGTAGGTTTATTAACTAACTAGATAACGACAGTATTTCTGATTTCACGTCATAACTCATAGCGTAAGTTGGTTTTAAATTTCTGCCTATTTTAAAAATTAAATTCACTGGGTGCTAGTTCGCTTGTAACCTTAGAGTTAAACAGGAGGGTTTCATACAGCTGCAATTATTTTAAATAAATGATAAACAAAAATAAACTGCGTCTAATAACTCCATTAGCATATAT